CCTTACATTTTGGAGGTGGTTGACAAATATGCAAATGGGGCCACCGAGGGGGCTCCAGAGGGTTTCTGCTGCTCCTTCAGGCTGCTGCAGGCCCGTTCCCATACCCTGTGACTTTCTCAGGGCCGGGAGTGGTGGGACCGTGGGTAGCAGATCACAGTCTTCTGATTGTCTAGAGTCTAGACCTTTGTCTTCTGAGGAAAGTTGTACTGACACTTGTCTTTTTCTGTTGCCGTGTTTTCAGAGTAGATTATCTGCCTCTGCCTTCCCAGTGCTAGGATTAACTGGAACAAAGCTTTGGAACATTTCGGTGTCCTGTGAGAAGCTGTGCACTAGAGACCACGCCTCACACAGTTGAGTTTTGTTTGTTTCCTACCAATGTGTTTGCCCTTTATGATTACATTTTAGTTTTCTGCAGTTAGTATTTGCTAGATCAGCTCTACAAAATACTGACTGGGGGGGGGGGGGGCAGTACAGCTCCGTGTCTGAGCGCTTACCCAGTGTGAGCGAGGCTGCTTTGAGTATCGAATGTCCAGAGTTTGTTCCTAACCACTGGGAAGGGGTCACATTTTATCTCCAACCTTACAGTAAGAGCCACTAGATATTCGGAAGAAAAGCAATTGTTGATAGTTTTTAGGTTTGGGTAGCAGGAGAGGAAAGGAGGGGCCATCCACCCCTTACCTCCATGGGGTGTCCTAACTTAGCCCAAACCTTAGGAGCTCCTCTGCTCTTTGGGTAGATTTTGTTTCTTTGCAAGCTGAGAGAGGAGACAGAGGGGAGCACCAAAGCCCAGGTATTTCAGCAAGGAAGCCAGTAGCCTGCGTCCCTTTAGAGGGCCATGACTCTGGAGCCCTTCCTAACCTTCCCAGGAATCCCTTAATGAGTCCGAGCTACTGCTCCAGCAGGCTGCCCCTTGTGAGGCCTTTGAGAGGTCACGTGCCTCTCCAACTTCCCTTAAAGAGCTATTGTTATTTTTTCTGAGTGTCTGAGGAGAAAGGCTTCTGGGGAGCCAGCCACCCTGCCCAGTAGCCTGCGCCAGGCCCAAAGCAACCAGCAGGGCCGTGCGTGTGCCTGGCTGTTGCTGTCTGGCTGTTGAGAGCATGCCGGGTCTTCTTTGAGTTATAGCTTGCTTAAGGAGTTGGAGCACACAAAGCCAGGTCTGTGGAGCTGGAGGTTCTCTGAGCCAGCAAGTGGCAAGGCTGTTACCTTGTATCAGTCAGATTTGGGGGGATGCTCCAGGCAGCTTTGTTACACTTTTGCTTTTCTATATGGCTTAGCTACATTGTGTACATTTTGCAGTTCCATTGGGTGCGGGGAGCCATTTTTATTTGATTCCATTACAAAACAGAAACATGGAAACAAGCCTGTTTGAGACATAGTCCACCAGAGGTCCTTATTGACACATGTGAAGAACACCCAAGATTCAACTTGTCTACCTGGTCCTGGTCCCAGATTTTGCATATGGGTCCCTTCACCCTCCTGTTGAAGGCAGCAGAACAGATACCTCTACAGGCTTTCCTCAACACCAGGGTTAGCATGCAGCTCCAGCCAGATGCTCACTCTAATTGGAAGTTAGCTGCTTCTCACACTGAAAACATCTCCACAGATGCCGTTCAGCTGTGGGAATTCTGCTACATGCCTGCAGCATCACATGCCTGGGTGTGGGTTTCTTTTGTTTGTTTTAGATGTATCTTATTTTTTATGTGTGAGTGTCTTGCCTGCATGTGTATATATGCACAATTTGTGTGCCTGGTGGTGCCCTTGGAGGTCAAAAGAGGGCATGAGATCAGAGGTAGGCATCAGGCCCCCTGGAACTAGTTAGAGATGGCTGTGTATCACCATGGAAGTGCTAGGACCTGAACCCTGGGTCTCAACAATAACAAGTGCTCTTAACCCTGAGTCATCTCTCCAGCCTGCAGGTGTGACTTCTGTAGAAGTGGCAATTATTTCTAAAGAAATGTATTAGTAGGCCAGCAAGATGGCTCATTGAGGAGTGTGTGCTGAGAGCCTTAATCTCTGCGTGAGCCGTGGTGGAAGGACAGAACTAACTCCAGCAACCATGCCCGACGCCCACAGATGTGCACACTTCATACACTCTGAACAAACAGATGAACAGACAAAACCAGGGTCTCACTGAGGAGCCCTGGCTGGCTGGCCTGGACCTCACCGATCTCCCTGCTCTGACTCACTGAGTCAGAGATCAAAGGCGTGGACCTTTATAAAGAAGTGTGTTGTTGAAAAAGTACTGTGTTCCGTGTGTCTGTGACCGAGAGACAGGAGACTACGACGCAGATTGCTTAAGTCTAAAAGTTTCGATCAGTTTGGTTGGCAGAGATCTCATCTAAAAAATACAGAGAGGGAGATAAAGGAGGGAGGAAGAGAAGGAGCAAAAACTACAGGCAGTACTGTTGTATTCTGGTCACAAGCCTGTGCTCAGTTTTGTATTAACGATTGGATGTCTACATGCTGTTACCGAAGGTCATCTTTACCGGAGAAGATCAGTAAAAGTGCCTAATGGCAGTGAGTTTCTGGTTTGGTCTTGACTGTATTTTAGTGTTTCTCAAACTTCCGTGCTGATGGGCCATCTTGATAGCCCCACCCCTACCCAGTCATTTGTGAATTTGTGAATTTCAGTAAAGCATAAAAACAATTATTTGAAAAGCAAAGTAAAAGGAAAATGAGAAAAAAAAAGCTTGTAAAAGCTTGTGTTGTGGGGTAGATTTGCAAACCTAACAGCCACTTTGTAATTCACTATAAGCCTCCCTAATACAGTGCCTCTGCTTACGTCATCTGAATGGGTACCAGTTCACAGGCTAGCCTCTCCCCAAGTAATACAGTGCCTCTGCTTACGTCATCTGAATGGGTACCAGTTCACAGGCTAGTCCCACCTATGAACAGTAGTTTGAGAAATGCTGGTCTGGGGTGTGCGTGTACATATTTGTGCACTTACACATTTAAGTGGCCTGATCACAGGATAACTAACAGATCAGATAGCGCCGTGTCCAAATTAAATGCATTTCCTAAGCTGTTTAGTCAAAGGAACATTTTTTTTCTGAGAGTATTAAATGCATTAATTGTAAGCAGATACACATATAAATGTGAATACAATTACTTCAAAATCCAGTTGTCTGGTGACGCCTCTGATGCATTGTTTTGCAGAGTGACGTAAGACTATCTCTTCTCTGGTTTATCAAGTTTAAATGAGTACAGATACTCCCAAGGAAGTGTCCCATGCAAAGAAGACAGGCAGTAGACTCACTAGAGGTAGGAGTCTATAAGAGGTAGGATAAGCCAGCCGTTTTTTTTATCAGACCCTCCTTGTCTCACCGAACAGTTGTATTGGTTGCTGTCTTTGGTCCGTTTTTTTGGTCCTAATGATTGATACCCATCTTTGTTAATGCTTACGAAATGAGGGAAGCGGTTTCATCAAGTAATTGCACATTCTTTGGAAGCAGCGACAGATCTCAGAGCGGTGTTGGCATGGACAGGCTACAGCTGTGTCAGCTCTCCCTGCAGGAGTCAGACATCCTCCGTGGGGTCGTGTGCCAGGCTCCCTGGCCTCCAGGACGTCTGGGGTGTATTCCTTCTGCTAGCCTTTCCTTTGGGGACCCGACTTGAAATTCAAAAGACTTGGGAGACGGAGGGGAAGTTGGTGCGGTGGCTCCTCCCACCTGGGAGACCACAGCGGTGGAGTGTGTCTTAGAGAAGGGTGAAGAAGAGATGTAAAAGCTGGCGGAAAACGAAGTAGCTGCCAAGCGCCTGAGGAGAGGGTTCGCTGGCTCCAAGGCCGAGTGCCTCAAAGCAGTGAGCAGTGTGCCCGGCTTAGTGAGACCACGCTTCCTACTCTGAGAAGTGGTTAGGAAGCCAGGTTGGGCTGGGCACGGTGGTGAGTGGACAGAAACCCAGCACCTGGTAGGCTGAGGCACGAGGATTTTGAGTTCCATCTAAGAACTCAGTCCGAAGATTTGTATTGAAAGTCTGCTTCAAATAGTGAGACACAAACAAGACAGTAAGGGTTGTGGGGCAAGTCCTGAGAGCTTGTGTCCACAGCAGTTCTGAAAGGGGTGGCGGGGTGGTGGGGGACTAGGACGGGCTATTGCAATAGTGACCGCCAGCTAGGCTACAGTATTCAGAACGGGACCTCACTGTAACCTTCAGCGGATTCTCAAGGTCTAGGATATAAAAACCTTACCTCTTTCAGACACCCAGGTCTCTGTGTCGTCACGGTGTTTGGTTATGACAGGTCTCCGGTACCCAAGGAGCAGGGCTCACAGTCAAAGCAGATGGCTTCAAAGCAAAGCAGCCGTGTTCATGCCCAACTGTGTGCTGTCAGACAGAGCCAGGCAGAAACCCGGGCTGGGAAACATGCATTCCACTTAGTCTAGAATGAAAGGCAGCGGCCGCTCAGTCTCTGTGGTCACTTAGCTTCACCACGTGGCCCCCGACAGGCAGGAAGGCTCTGTGTATAATGGGGAAGGAGAAGCATTTTGAAAGCACATACGGTTCTACCAAAACTGTATGTGCTCTTCCCTCTCTCCCTTGATGCTTTCGGTTGTTGGAGTTGTGTTCAAGCTGTCATTTCTAACACCTCTGTCTGTTGAGGTTGTGCATTGTATGTTCTTGAGCTTTAAAAATAAATGCATTTGGGGGAGGGAGGGTGAACCTGTGTGATAATGTTGGGCATGTGAATGCAAGCACATGAGCTGAGAAAGTCAAAACCATGGTTTCCATGGTAACCCCTAACTTCTCTGTGTCGTGTTGTACACATTACTCACGCAGAACGTTGGCCAGGATTACCTAGTGGTAAAAATTGCTCTGCAGGCGGACAAGGGTGGATGTCCTACTTCTCCGTCTACGGGGTCTTCCCCGTGAGTCCACCTGCTCTGAGGAACCCCGGGCAGGAGACTCCACAGCCGGGTCCTAACCTCTAAATGTCGTCTTTTTTCACGGTGGAGATTAGCCTTCATGCGATTCATGCTGTTTCCTGTCTTTCTCCTTTGTAGATTTATGTTGGGTAAAGGAGGGAAGCGGAAGTTTGATGACCATGAAGATGGGCTGGAAGGCAAAATCGTGTCCCCCTCCGACGGTCCATCCAGGGCGTCCTACACCTTACAGCGTCAGACTGTCTTCAACATTTCCCTTATGAAACTGTACAACCACAGGCCCCTGACAGAGCCCAGCTTGCAGAAGACTGTCTTAATTAACAACATGTTGAGGCGGATCCAGGAGGAACTCAAGCAGGAAGGCAGCCTGAGGCCTGCGTTCACCCCCACTTCCCAGCCCAGCAACTCACTGGGTGACAGCTGCAGGGAGGCCCCACCTGCCTTCACGCACCCGGCCATGCCTCCCGCTCACCCCTGTGACCCAGGAAGCGCTGCACCCCTGGAGGCCTGCCTCACCCCTGCCTCCCTGCTAGAGGACGACGACGACACTTTTTGCACTTTGCCGGCTGCGCCGCCCGCGGCTCCTCCCAGACTCTCTCCTCCAGCCCTCCCGCCTGAAAAGGACAGCTTCTCTTCCGCCCTGGACGAGATCGAGGAGCTCTGCCCCACATCTACCTCCACAGAGGCTGTCGTGACATCAGCGGCGCCCGACAGCCCGAAAGGAACCTCCAGTGAGTCTGGCGTCCAGAAGCCTGAGGGGCCGCAGGAAGGCCGCCCGGATGACTCACGATTCATGGACTCGCTGCCTGGGAATTTTGAAATCACCACGTCCACAGGTTTCCTGACAGACTTGACCCTGGACGACATCTTGTTTGCTGACATTGACACATCCATGTATGATTTCGACCCCTGCACATCCACATCAGGGACATCCTCCAAAATGGCCCCCGTGTCAGCTGACGACCTCCTCAAGACCCTGGCCCCCTACAGCAGTCAGCCTGTCGCCCCAAGTCAGCCTTTCAAAATGGATCTCACGGAGCTAGACCACATCATGGAGGTTCTTGTCGGGTCCTAAGACTGTGCCTAGCCAGGCCCTGCAAGCGTCCCCGCCGCCCTGACAGTTTCTCCGCACTGTGCATGTACCCTTGCTTGCCTTTTTCAGAGAAAAAGAAAACTTCACAAACGGATCACACTAGTATTTTCTTTGAGCAGAGTTGGAGTGCCTTCATTCGAGTATGACCACTTTTAATACACTCTCTGCGTGGGCTCCGCAGAGACCTGCTGCCCTGGCCTAGGAGAGGAGACGTTTGAAGACTGTCGCCAATGCTGAAAGGTGAACATGAGCAGTTCAAATGAAGCACAAGGATTGCGTTGGAAAAGCTGTAAATTGCGTGTGCATATTTGTCTATTTTTTCTATAAGTTTTATTGCAAGAGGTAAAAAAGAATATATATCTATATTATTTGGATAATCTCAGTACCTTTCCTGGCGTTTTGCCCTGTATAAGTTGACTTGGCAATTCCGCCTTTTTAGAGGCATTAACTACTCGTAAGTGTTGCATTGACATGGCTGTTTAGAAAACTGCTGCCCAAATTTATTTTCTATTTTTGTACAGATTCTGCAGTTTATGATATTGTTTTTCTAAGAACAAATGCTGTTTATACCTATGAGATAGCTATTTTGATAGGATTTGCTCACGTAGTTCCTGCAAATGTAAGCTGTACAAGTTGCACTTGTACTTTTATAGAGTCGTAATGTTTTATATGTGTATGGTGCAAGAGAAAATTGGATCAAATCAATCTGCAGTTGATGTCCCCAAATGCAAACACACACAGCGCTTTAATAAAGGGCCAGGTGATCTGACACCCAAATTTCACAAGCACCAGCCCTTGGCACGATCACCCGCCAGTACTGTGACGTCCAAAGCCAGAGCCCTGTCTGCTCATCAAAGGGGGAGATGGCTGCGGATCCTGGGGTTGATGTGATGGTCTCCTTAGCTCCCTCTTCTGAGCAGAGGCTATGGCATCTTGTGTAAGAGTGTACTCGTGGCCGGCTGTGGTGGTGCACCCCTTTAATTCCAGCACTTGGGAGGCAGGGGCAGGTGGACTTCTGTGAGTTCCAGCCCAGCCAGAACTCTACAGTGAGAACCCTGTCTCAAGGATGGGGGAGTAGGAGAAAGACTGTATTTATGCCAAGTTTGCTCTTTTAATTGTTTTTATTTTAATTTTATAAAATGCAAACCCCAGTCTTACCCCTTGGGCATAGCTTTTATGATGAGACCACAATTTTACATAACAATTTTACAACAAGCAACTGACCTCTTCATGGAGCTGAGCCCCTACTTCAGTGCTAGGGCTCCTAAAGAAGAAATTCTCCCCGGAAGGCATCCATCCTGCTGCTGAACTGCCTTTCCCAGCGTCCCTTCCCTGCTGGAGCTTTGTTCCCTCTGTTGCTAAGAGCTGCAAATGGCATCTTCGTGATCACCACAGTAAGCTTGCTCACCTCAGCCATCCGGGATGCACTCTCTCAACATCTGTGACCAGAGCCACAGTCCGCCACCTTACGTCCTGGTGTCCAGTCTGGTTGCTTTCTTTAATCAACTGCTGATTTAACCACACTTTACAAAGCTGTTATATCCAAATACACAACGGGAATTTCTGTGCGTGTTTCTGGCCCTCCCGTCTCCTGACCCCCAAAGCGGCTCTTTATTTCCAGTGATCCCCCAGTTGTAGTTATTGTCTCCGTGTATCATACCCATTTGTCTGCCGCCCTCCCTCCTTTCTGTTTGCCTTCCTTTCGCAGTGGTACTTCAGCTATGGAGTGCAGCTTACAACCTGTATTGTTATGCAGACGGCTTCTTTAGGAATAACTTCTATATTTATTTAAAAATTTTAAATTATGGGATTTTGTTTTTGTTTTTGTTGTCACTGTTGTCGGTCACCAGTTCTGCTCACTTCTTGCCATGGATAAAATTGGGTCTTTCCGGCCACTTAAAAAGATAAATTTGTAAATGGCACTTTAAACAAGCCATAGATAGTTTTACTTTTATAATGCACATGGCAAGCAAATGTGTTTGTGATGAAGGAACTGCTCATCCAGGCAGAAGATTTGTGTATGGTGTGATTAATACTTTTTTACATTCTAATCTCTACCCTTTCCCGTGTGCACGTGATTGAAGGGCTGCTCCCCAGCTCTGTAGAGCGGTGAGGATAGCCCATCGCGCTGCACTGTGCTCCTGCGGGCACCCTCCCCACGGGCCTCTCACCATCACACACGTGTTTCCTCTGATGCAGGACTAGGGACCATATGGGAAGGTGAGTGTCGTTGATGCTTCCAAGTGTCGTTGTGCCTGTCCATTTGAAGAACTTTTCTTCCGGGAAGAAAGCAGGTCGACCCATCCCATCCTCTGTGTTTTAGAACTGGAGGATCCTGTGAACTGGCCACATGCCACACACATCTCCATACATGTGCTTAGACATGTGTTCATTCTTCCCAACAAGAATGGCACAAAGCAGTTGATTGCCATTGTCAAAAACTGATTTACAGTAACTTAGAACAACTGTACTTTTGTTGGATTAGCAAATTGTGTGTTTAAACGATCCCTTATGTTGGGCAACAGTTCAGATAAGCACAGAGACATGTCCGCCCAGACTCAGTTCTCCGACTCCAGTTCTTCACCATCACAACACCTTCCCCAGCAGCAGCGGGCACGCGCGTATTCTCCAGTTGTGCCTGGGAAACCCGAGCAAGCCCATCAAGAGTTAAGACTGACTTTGTGTCCTATTTATATTAAGTGATGTCCCAACAGGGAAGAGGTGGAGTCAGAGTGAGATCAAGTCCCAATTTGAGTGTGGGATATGCTTCCAGATGCTTCCTGGCAGCAGCGGCTCACCTTCACAAAGACAGTCTTGTGGCACCCAGAGGCGGGCAGACGGCCTGGGGGTGCCGGGGCCTGAGAGGCTGTTATTGAGGACTGTGATGTGCAATGGCATGGCAAGGTGGGAGCAGACTCCTGAGAGACGTAGAGTGGTGGCTTCCCCATAACTTATTTATTCCTTTGTTTTCCTTTGTAAATATATTTATTTGACTGTGGCGCTCTAACAACAGCTGGCTGGTTTGGTGCAGAATGTATGGTAGGAATGTATTTCTCGTAGGAATGTAAATCTGTATTAAGAGGGGGAGCCAAGGCAGCCCCCACCCTGTCTTTGCATCAGATACACGGTCGACACTCATTTTCACCCATCTCCAGTATGGGTCGATTTAAAATATGCAAAAGCTGTGGGCGGGGGATGTTTTAATACCTCTAAATTTTTAAGAATATCGAGCATAAAAGGGTTGGTAATTTTTTAAAGTTTTCTTAGTAGCACTTTGACTTATCGACAGAAGGGGCAACACACAGGCACCCACCTTCATACCAAAGGGTGAGGAGTGGCCACAACCTCCCACACCGCTCGAGTGTCCTCAGCAACTGGGCTTTTTATCGCCATAGCCCCTTGAAGTGCCCCAACCGTCCTGAGGTCAATCAAGGAAAATTTCTTAACGAAGTAAGCTCCAAAGAGCCAAAGTATCAACTTACGGATCATTTTTAAAGCTTAAATTTATTAACCACCTTTGCGGTAAACAATGAATTATGAATACCGCAAGGGCAGCCTTCTTAAATGACAGACATAAAAGAGAGACTGCTTCTGCGGCAATTGTTCCTCTACTTCGTGTGAATTGTCTTAATTTTGAAACCTTGCTCTTACAAATTGGACCTTTATACATTTCTGACAACAGCCAAGAGAGAAGAGCATATTTGATTTGTCCTAGCTCTAAGCGGTTAATCCTGGTGCGGCCCCCGCCCCGGGATGCCGGCGGGGTGTGCGTCTGCCTGTGTGCGATTGTTTCCAGTGCTTCCAAGAATGAGTCTCCATGGGTCTTGAAGATTAGCCAGGGTCAAATGCTCTTGCAGACAAAGCCAATACAATTTTTGGACTTCTCTTGGGGAATTTGGGAGGGAAAAGCAGTCCGTATGTACAACTGACGTGTTGAACGTGTACATAGGGACATGTTGGGGACGTGGATTCTGAGGAGGGCTTTTTGTCGGAAGTCGGTGTGACCTTTCCCCCACAGACCTGAGAGCTGTGCCTTTTCTATGCAATATTACAGATGTCACATCAGAACCCAGAGGGCTGTGTTCAATGTAGGTTCATTCAGGCTGTATTCTGAACAATTGGACAGATTAAGTGGACATGGACATGAGGTCTTTTGTAGTTTTATATTATACAATAAACAGTTAAAGGATGAGACTTGTGTTGTGTTTTCTTCTGACCGTGTCGTGACTGTTTGGTCCCACTGAAGTGCAGCCCCCGGGTGCTCTCCCCGTGCTCGTCCTGTCCTGCTGAGACCTGTCCTGGCTTCCCGAGGCCCCCCCCCCAACTTCCTTCTCCTTCCTGACGCACCCTCTCCAGACATGGGTTTTGCCCAGAGCCTTTTCTTTTCCCCTGCCTGTAACCTGAGCTGTCTCCCACCTTCGCTCAGGTCTTGAAAATCTGTGACCAGCCCCTGCCCCTTCCAGCTGTTGGGCTTCACCATCTACCCGAGGTGCAGAGTGTCTCTCGCTGTTGGCCACTCTCCATGGGACCTTGTCTCCTCCAGTAGGCCACTTGGCCCCCTCGGGGTCTCCTCAGTTCCAGTCTCTTTGTCCCCTCCGACACCTTCCCGTTGCTGCCTCTCTGGCCCATACCCTCTGTCATCTTCCCCTACTGCCGGTGTCCGTGTGTCACTGGTCTTCCTGTCCTGGTGATTTTGGTAACATGTTTTAATGCCAGTCTGGGCCACCGCGCCATCCTCGGGGGCTAGTTGGGGTGGGCATGTCCAGGCACTGGTTGACGGCTGGGCCACTGCTACCTGGTGAGACGGCGCAGGTGGGTGTGAGAGACCTGGAAAATCTGTGCTCTGTTAAATCAGCTTTGGGATATGGAGGGGAGGAGGTGGGTGGGCTGGAAACGGAGCTGTGCTCCACAGAGCACCATGTCCCTCAGAGAAGTCCTGAGTTCTGTCCCCAGCACCCAGGAAGTGGCAGCAGGATGATAAGCTTAAGGTTTGCCTTCCACCTTGGATCCAGGAGACCTTATCCAGAGAGAGAGAGAGAGAGCGCACACAAGGCTTGGGTGAGGAATGGCTGTCCACTCCTCCACAGAAAGAGAAGGCCGGCACTCAGCATCACCCCTCCTTGTTCCAGGTCCCTGCTCATTGCCTGCACGGCCCCATCTCTGGCACACACCAGCACCCTGCCTTTGTGCCCTTGCTGCCCTGGGAAACATCCTCATTTCAAGACCGACCTCAAGCGCGTGTCCACGAATCCGTCTAGGCATCTCCCTTGTAAGAGCCAGTCTCCCTGAGTTCCTGCAGGGCCCTGGACATGGTGAAGTCCCCTGGCAAATCCTGCCCTGGCTTTAGACTTGCTGCAAGTGGTTTTCTCTGTAACACTGCAGTTTTGACGAGCAGAACCCCAGGGGTGTTCCTCTTCTCCCAGGTTCGGCATGCCACACACCCTGCTTGTTTTAATAAGCAGTAAAGTCCTAGATCTTGGTCATGCTTGCTTAGCTGTGTGTCACCTCCGGCGTCTGTCTCCATGGCACAGCTGAGCAGGTGCAGTTAAGTTGACTCTCCTAGTTCAAAAGAGTTACCATTCGGACCTTTACAGAAAAACATTGTCTAACTCTTGACATTTCCAACTACACAGTCCTTAAGATAGTGTCCGCCATAGGCAAGCCAGGCTCGGGGCTTTCGGGAGGGACGTGTGCCTCCAAGAGCTGGGGAAGAGGGACCAGAGCGGACAGCAGTCAAGAAAACCACACAGGAGGGGACGTTATCAGAAAGCTGTAGGCCTGTAAGGGGTCTGGGAGTGGGTCTTCTGTTCAGAGAAGCCTGGTGTCAGTTGTGAGAACAGAAAAGGGAAGTGGTACTGGCTGGTCTCCGAGGGATGCGTCAGCCTGGTTCATAGCAGACTACCTGAGTTTGTACCAATCTGTGCCCCTTTGTCACCTTCCCCAGCCTGTTCATCTCTCGCCCTCTGGTCCTGAACAAGTTTCTGTTTGCTTTTATTTGTGTGCACTGAAGCAGTTGTCACCCAGGCTGGTCTCAGATGACTGCACGCCAGCTCTTCTCTCTTGGCCTCCTGAGTTGCTCACACTGTAGTTTCTGTCACTCTTGAGATCTCTTTAGCACAGCACACCCTGGCTTCAGCCTGAAGGCCTGGGAACTCCTGTCCTCCGTGTGTGTGTGTGTGTGTGTGTGTGTGTGTGTGTGTGTCCTGACTTACTACCTACATCACTGCCTTAAGGAGCAGGAGGGAGCGGAGGAGGGCAGAGCTTTTCAGGGCTGAACACCCCAGGTGCTCACAGGCTCTCCTGCCCTGGCTGTGGGACTTCAGGTTAGTCACTGTCCCATGGGGGCAAGAGGAGACTGAATGACTGAATATCTCTGGCTTCCCCCAGATTGTCACCACAGAGGGAGGGCTGGTCTTGGGCTCTATGTAGGCCTCAAGGATTTGCCAAAGCTGAATGCCCTGAGGTGCCAGCCTTCAAGGCATCTGAGATGGCATGTCATGTGCCTGACAGGACGGGGCAACACATGGTGACATTGTCCCCGGAGCTGGGAACCCTCTCTGCAGCAGGCGGGCTGTCTCAGCCCCCGTAGCTCTCCAGACCTCTCCCCCACCTCCCAGGCAGGGCCAGGCTGCCAGCTGCCAGCAAGGCCTATTGTTCAGCAGTGACAAGAAATGGCTGCAGAGCTCAGGCTGGAGAAAGGCTGGAGGCAACAGTGGGGGATGGGGGAGGAAGCTCTCAACACCCGGGAGAAGTCTGAGGCGAATCCAGCCCTCCCCTCAGACAATCCCCTCCCGCCTTCGCGGGCCAACAGGCTTCCTTTCCGATGTTTCCTCTGGCCGTGTGATGTGGGGAGCGTGTGGCCCCATTTCTGGACCCTACAGAAGAGTCCGTCAGCTGCCTCAGGGTTGAGCTGAGTGGCCCAAGTCAGTGCTGTGTGGCCTGCCCTTGCCCAGGCTGTGCTCTCCTGTGCAGTGCGCCTGTTGGGTCTGGAGAGGGTCCAGAGATTACGACCCTGATGTGTGTACAGCCACAGTGTTTCTCAGACGGTTGTGATTGCGCCAGTTCAGAGAGGGTGTGTGTGTGTGCGTGTGTGTATGTGCGTGTGTGTGTGTGTGCGTGTGTGTCTGTGTGTGTGTGCGCGCGCGTGTGTGTGCATGTGTGTGTGTGTGTGTGTGCGCGCGCGCGTGTGCATGGGAGGGGGTGGGGAAGTGCACAGAGGCAGAGGAGACCTCCAAGGTCACTGCAGAACTCTGCCACAGCGGCCACTGAGGGAAGTTGTGGTTTGAAGACACTGGGAATCCACACTTTCTCTTGGAGTTTTGCAGCAGAGATTGTCCACTGAAGCCATTGGGAGGGACCAGTCTAGCCTTGTCTGCCCTGGAGAACCTCCCCTTTCTCCAAACATATGCCTACCCGTAGTTGAGGGGATGGAAGTGTCCCAGCTGTAAGATGGTCAGCATGAACAATCTAGCCAGAAAGCCAGCACTACTGTGAGCCAAACCCTAGGTCTTCCCCAACCTGTCCTGACAGTGGGAAGCCCATTCACCAACTTTCTCTCCCTCGCTTTCCTCTCTGCCTGTCAATCAACCCCTTCTTCATCCTGCCTGCCTACTTGAAGCTGCCACAGGACGCTGGTTGCCCTCTGCCTCATGAGGCCTGTGTCTGGGGGTCGGGGGGACTTGTCTTCAGCTCTGGGCTCTGAGGTAGACCCAGTGATCGGATCCAGAGCTTGGCTCATGGAGGTCTTGGAACTTCTGAGTCACCACAAAAGGTCCAGGAGGACCCATGACTGATCGGGTGCTTCCGAAGTGCCTGGCCTCAGCTACTCAGTCCTTCAGCTGTTCCGTCAGTGTCGTAGAAGATTTCCCTATTGCCGGGTTGGTCTTCAGCTCTGACGTACAGGAATAAAGGAATGGAGGAACAGTCTAGGCAGAGAGGCTGCCCATGCTGGCCTGCCAGCACGAACAGGTGCACGGTTCTGCGAAGAAGCACCTGCTGGTAAGAGGGTAGAAGCCCATGGCACTAGCACAGAGCAGGCAGCAGGCTTGAGGTGCATGATTTGCAAAAAGAAAATGGGGAGGGGGAGGTCAGCAGCTGGGATAAAGGCCCTGGGGGAGGCAGGGTGGGCAAAGGTACCTCTGGAGGGCATTTTCAGTCTCAGGTCACCTCCTTACTGAGGCAAAAATCAGGAAACTCCAATCCAGAAAGCTTAGGTAAGGTGGTCCAGCTGGCACGGGAGCAGACACCCAAGCATGCTATGAGGCACCTTTATGTACTTTGGGGACACACTGCTGTGCTGTCCAGGGGACACAGGCCATATAAGGCAATATTATGAACATGTCAGGAAACAGAAACCCTGACTGGTTTGAGCTTGGCTCAGAGGAGACTTGGGGAATAGCCTCTGGGCTGGCTAGTTTTTGTCAAGTCGATGCAAACCTAGATCATCTGAGGAATTGCTTCCCTCAGATTGGCCCATGGGCATGTCTGTGGAGCATTTTCTTTCCTTTTTTAAAAAATTATTTATTTGTGGGGCTGGAGAGATGGCTCAGAGGTTAAGAGCACTGGCTGCTCTTCCAGAGGTCCTGAGTTCAATTCCCAGCAACCACATGGTGGCTCACAACCATCTGTACTGAGATCTGGCGCCTTCCTCTGGTGTGTGGGCGTACATGGAGGCAGAATGTTGCATACATAATAAATAAATCTTAAAAAAAATATTTATTTGTGTGTGTATGTGTGCGAGTGCTCTGTCTGTCTGTACGCATGTATTACAGGAGAGGGCATCAGATTCCATTAGAGATGCTTGTGAGCCAACATGTGGTTGCTGGGAATTGAACTCGGGACACCTGGAAGAACAGCCAATGCTCTTATCCACTAAGAGCCATCTCTCCAGCCCAAGAGTATTTTCTTGAGTGCTTGATGGATGTGGGAGAGAGCCCCCCCCCCACTATGAGCAGCCCCATCCCTGGGCAGGTGGGCCTGGAGGGTATACGAGCAAGCCAGTAAGCCACCTTCCCTTTCCCCAGTGGCCCCTGCTTCAGTTCCTGCCACCGCATTCCTGACTTGAGTTCTCACTCTGGCTTCCCTCGATGACTGGACGTGATCTGAAGTGTAAGCCAAGCTGGTCCTTCCTCCCGGGGTTGCTTTTCCTCGTATTTTATCACAGCAACAAAGGAGGCCAGGACAGAC